GGGAAGGGAAGAGGTGAAAAGATTAAGTGGAAGAACTTCATAACCATTAGAGCTGTCCCCGACTGGCATAGCCACCCTTGGGGTAGGGGAGCAGGTCTTCAAGCTAAATCAGGATAACCTTGCCAGAGAGGCTGTGCAGGAGACCATTCTCAGGTAGGGCCATTGATATTCCTTTCACCTCTGAGATCCTATGATGGTTTAAAAAAAATGCATGGAAAAGAAATTCCTTTGGGAGAAGATTTGAGGAGTATTGGAAGAAAGCAAAAGGCCTCAAGATGGTCACATCATTGCAGATAATTTACTTGGGTTGAGAGGGAAAAGAATGAAAGCCCATTTCCCCCATGTGCATGGAGTGAAATGTGGCTCTTGCCACTGTCCATGGTCCTGGAGACAGCTCCTGATGCCTGCAGTCAGCATGCAATGGCACATCCCCAGTCTTGGTGATGCTGCCAGTAGAGAAAGTCCTCCCAGCTCAGCAGGAAGATCAGCCAGCATTTAGCAATGCATCAGGGCGGTAAGTATTTTAATAATCAGTGCGGACTTGGGGTTGCTGTGCTTCCTGAGCCACATGTTGGGTTGCTCCCTGTTTCTAAAATTACTTACAAAGTGTCAGGACAAAGCCTGGACAAAGCAATTCTAAAATAGCAAGTCATTTCCGGAAGATTGGAAGGAGCTGGAGCTTGGAGAAAACATTCCAGCAAACCACTCTGCAGGGACTGATTGGGGACAGGGGAGGGATAGAATGCCTTTTGGCCTAGTTCTCCTCCCCACCCCCTTGGGAACTTCAAACAGTCTGAAAGGTTTTGGACTTTCCATCATCCCACCAGCATCCTAGCCATCCCTGGAAAAGATGACAAAAATGTCTAAGTCAGGAGACAAGGACAAATCGGAAGCATATTCCTAGCTCTGAAAAAGAGCCCAGCAAAAAATGTTCCCATACCTCAGAGGGGCACCTTGATGATTCTAGCAAAAGAACTCTCTCAGTTTGAGCCCATCTTTCCTTTAACTCTACGGACTGCTGGGAGAGTGTTTCAAGGCAAGGTAAGGCAACAAGCATTTATCAAGTACTTACTATGTGCCAAGCACTGTGCTAAGTAATGGGGATTCAGATAAAAGAAAAAAGACAGTCCCTTCCCTCAATGTATTTGTGTCCCAATGGGGGAGAGATGAGTTGAAAGGGGTAGGGGCATGGGGAAAAAGGTGTACATGAGGGATAAGGTGCTGAAGCTCAGAAAGTCAGAAGTAAAGTTAGGAGGATAGTGAACGGCAGTGAATCTAAGCCCTGCCTCAAAATGGAGGCTCCCAGAGATGAACTCACCAATAGGAGAAGGGGGGGATAGCATGGGAAAGAGATATTTCAGACTAAGAAGGCAGCACAGGCCAATGGAGGCTCCATGTGATGAAACAGCTCAGGCATGGTATCAAAGTCCAGAAAGTGAGAGGCAAAGCCATAAGGGGAAGCCAAAGACTTTGGGGAGAAGTGATTATAGGCATTTTACCACCTTAGTAAACATCCCTTTCTAAAAGTTACCCAAGTCTGACTGACTAATTGATAATCAATTCATATCATGGTGGAAAGCATGCCAATGGGGGCTCATATGCTATAATATCCCTTTAACCCTAGAACCCTGAATATCCATAGTAGTCATGTCCTATGGACCTGATTCATCAATGTGGATTGGACTTAGGAAAGTCACCTCAAAGCATGGAATACACAAATTTGGGCACCATCCAAGGTCTGCCATCTTCACCACAAAGGAGACACATATAGATGATTGCTGGGGATGAATACAAGGAGTCCCAGAAGTGTTCCTTCATGTTTTAAGGGAACAACAAAACTGCCAGTGAAAAGATTCCCCTTCTACAGCTCCAACTGAAACTTGCTGGTGCTCCCCTCCACCAGTCCTTGCTCTGGATGCTGGTGTCCCTAGAAGTTTGGGCTACTCTTGGCTTCTGGACCATTCTTCTGCCCTCTGGACTGCCCGGTGTAAGAGGTAGTCAGGACATTGTAATAAATGCAGTGGATAGAGCACTGGCCCTGGAGTCAGGAGGATGTGAGTTCAAATCCAGCCTCAGAAACTTGACACTTTAGCTATGTGACCCCGTTGTCTAGCAAAAAAAAAAAAACATACATACATGAAGAATTATGGAAGGACATGTGATGAGAACATGCTATCTTCTGATGGAATCATGAACCTCCTTTCCTCCTTGCCCCGGAGACCTCAGGTGTGGTCTACTCACCCCACCCACCCACTCTTGTCCTGCCTGTATTTCTTTCCTACAATAACAATAATATGGCAGGCATTTAACAAATGTCTATTTATTTGAGCTGGGTTATTGAATTTGTTGATACTGAACCTATCCTGTGATGAGGGGACTAAGGTATTATACTCACTTCTGGACTCTACATTTTAGGAAGCACACTGAACCCATTAGGGAATGAAGGGATAAGATTGGGAAGGGCATGATATCCATGCCATATGACAATCAGATGAAGAAAAGGAACTAAGGGTCTTATTTAGCCTGGAGTATTTAAATAATTTATTTTTTCCCAATTACATGTAAAGATAATTTTTAACATTCATTTTTTAAAATTTTGAGTTACAAATTTTCTCCTTCCCTGCTTTATCTTCCCCCTCTCTGAGATGGCAAACAATTTGATATAGGTTATACATGTGCAATTGTGAAAAACATTTCCACATTAATCGTGTTATGAAAGAAAACACAGACCAAACAAAAAAAACCATGAAAAAAAAGTGAATAATAGAATGCTTCAATCTGCATTCAGACTCCATCTTTGGATACAGGTAGCCTTTTTTTTATCATGAGCCCTTTGGAATTGTCTTGGATCAGTGTATTGCTAAGACTAGCTAAGTCGTTCACAGTTGATCATCATACAATGTTGCTGCTACCATGTACAATATTCTCCTGGTTCTGTTCACTTCACTCAGCATCAGTCCATACAAGTCTTTCCAGGTTTTGCTGAAATCAGCCTGCTCTTCATTTCTTATAGCACAATAGCATTCCATTACATTCATACACCACAGCTTGTTCAGCCATTCCCCCATTAAAGGGCATCCTCTCAATTTCCAATTCTTTGCCACCACAAAAAGAGCTGCTATGAATATTTTTGTACAGGTAGGTTCTTTTCCCTTTTGTAAAAATCTCTTTGGGGTACAGCCCTAGTAGAGCCATTGCTGTATCAAAGGGTATGCCCAGTTTGATAGCCCTTTGGGCAGAGTTCCAAATTGTTCTGGCCTGGAGTAATTGAAGAGACACCATGAAAGCGAAGGAGTCACCTGATTCTTCTTGACTTCAGAGAAGAGAACCAGCAGCAAAGGGGAGAAGCCACAAAGAGGCCACTTTAAGCTGGATTCAGGAAGAATTTTCTCCCAGTGAGTGGCCTGGACTGCTTCAGCAAGGGGTGGCTTCCTCTACAATGGAGGTCTCCATGGCCCAGGCTGCATGACCACTTGTCCAGCTCATTAAAGAGAAAATAAGTCTTGTTCAAGCATGGGCTGGAAGAGGGAATCCTGTGGCTCCTTTCCCCCACTGAAATTCTGTGAATAGAGATGGATTGAGACCCCAGAAGCATGAACTCCACTGTTCCCCCAGCCCAGAAGACAGAGAAAGGTTTGAGGGTGACATTGCCCAGGCTGGGACAGGGAGCCCAAGAATCAGTGGGCAGCTGCTTAACGTTCACATGGGGAATGAGCTGGGGAGCAGCTGGTTGAGATGCTCAGCCGTCAAAGCCCAGTAATGTTCCTGTGTCACTTTTTTCCTTTCACGACTCTGCCCTTCTTGCCTATGAGGGCAGTCACATTTTGTGTGGGCACAGCAAGCTTCCCTCACTCTAGCTTTGGGAAGGGGTTATGGCTCTGGGGACACAGGATTCTGGTGTTCTTAACCTTCAAGTCGGGATTGGCGGAACGTGTGGACAGAGTCCTTTCTTATATCAGGCTCCCTATTTCTTCCCATTTTCAGTAGTATCTGTGAATTTAAAATGGTTGTCATCCTTTTCAGTATATGTTACAGCAAACAATGGTTACATCTTTTCTAATTGTCATCAGCATCATTATTTTCACTGGTTTAATAAGGCACTTTAACAATTCAAAAACTACTTATGCCCAAGACTTATTTTTCTCATCCAGGTCTAAGACTTTATCTTTCATTAGGCATGGGAACCAACCTCCACTGGAATAGTTCAGTCCCTTTTGAACTGGGAATTTCATAGTTCTCTGGCTCCATGGAAAGTGGAGGGCCATGTTCCGTGTTATACAGTGGCAAGACTCAAACCCAGGGATCCATAACTTTACTCAATATGTCAGGTTATGTTTCTAAGACTTGCCATGTGAAAACCCCTGATATGAACTCCTGGGGAAACCAGTGAAAGAATTGGGATTGGGGCAGCTAGGTGGCCCAGTGGATAGAGCACCAGCCCTGGAGTCAGGGGGACCTGAGTTCAAATCAGGCCTCAGACCAAACACTCACTAGCTGTGTGACCCTGGGCAAGTCACTTGACCCCATTGCCTAACCAAAAGGAAGAAAGAAAGAAAGAATCAGGATTCTTTCTATTGCTATGATCCACTCTCAATTATCTGCATGGCTATTATGGCAAGTTTTTCTGCTCAAGGAGTTTTTTCCTCCTCAGCTCCAAGATGTTACAACTGCATTATGAGTCAGGAGGGTGCTTAGGGTCAGCAGAACAATTTTAATTTTATTGACAATTCAATATTAGCCTGGGTAAGGCAGAGTTGGGAAGTTTAATGAAGTCTGCCAGCAAACCCCGAAGTCCAGACTAGATTTTTCACCCCTTCATGATGCTTGCTGGCAGTTAGAAGATGTTGTCTGAGTACCTGGGCAGTTTCTTTGGAGTGTGACAAAGCGGAGGTGGATGTAGTAAGTCCAGGCTTTCCCTCCTCTCTGGCGGAGTCTGGACTCGAGCTGAAGCTTAGGAAGGACTTGATGCAGGTGAAGAGTGTCTCCTGTTAACCTTCCAGGTCCAAGCCCAAGTGCGCCATGCAAAGCTCAATTTTGACCAGCTCAAGAATGATGTGTGTCAAAAAGTGGATCTCCTTGGAGCGAGCAGATGTAACCTGCTGTCTCACGTGCTCACAACATATCAGGTATCTCACATTCTGCTGGGATGTAGCTGCTGTGGAGAGCTGGACAAGGGCCAGAGAGATTGGAGGAAAATTAGAGGACAGGGGATAAGTTAGCCAGGAAAAGAGGGAGGGAAGGCACATTATGCCTGAAGGCCCATCATATGGAGGAAGGGTCAGCCTTGTTCTGTTGGGCACCAGACTGAGGTCTGAGGCCAGTAAAACCTTCCTTACCACAAGAACTATTCCAAAGTAGACTGGCCTGCTTCCAGAGGTGGGGGTAGGCTCTCTGTCTCAAGCAAAGGGACTACAGCAGACAGGGCTCTAATTGAGGTTGTTAGGGAGGTCTCCTCTGAGTCTGTGATTCTGATCCCCCAACAAACATGAAAATTGGTGCTAGGGGAAGAGGTCAGTGCCCTGGATTTTGACCACTCCAGTATTCAAAGGGTTCATCTCTCTTAACAGACTACCTTGCTTCATTTCTGGGAGAAAACCTCACACACCATGGCAGCCATCCATGAGAGCTTCAAAGGTTACCAGCCTTATGAGTTCACCATGTTGAAGGTAAGGATGCCACAGTGCACAAATCCTCAGCTTTTGGTTGGAGCTAACATCTAATTCCAGAAGCCATTGGTATTGTGAGTTTTTACCATCCCACCAGAGTTCTGACCTTTGCTATCCATGTTTCTGAATGGCCTGGCTCAGGTACTCCATGACATCTTTGGGGTGTCCAGGGCAGCCACTTCTGGTCTTCTGGAATTTTATCTGTTTTGGACACATTCACTGCTCCCAACTTAGCATTATCATCGCATCATTGAGTGAGCTGGGAGGGACTTAGAGGTCCCACTAATTTTATGAGGATCCTGAGTCTCAGACACGTTTAATGTCTTGTCCAGGGTTTCTTAATAATTAAGGGATTCAAATCCAGGCAGTCTTCTTTCCCAAGCCTAATGCTGGATTCCCTGCCCCACACTGTCTTCAGCATGTAGATTTCCAAATGGAGAACCTAACCAAACCTAACAGACATATTAACTGAGAAGAAATACTAACTTTTCATCTTTTCCTGTTACTGATCAGTTAAACCAATGATTCCTTGTATTGGGCCTGGCCATTGGAAGGGAAATGCAAGTGTGGACCAAGCCTCTGTTTAGGTTAGAGTTCAAGGTTCAGAAGATCAAAGGAATAGGGTATAGCTGTACCAAGTAGAAGAGGATTGTAGGAAACCATCTGGCCAGAGTGTGCAGGACAGAGTAGAGAGGAGGCAGTCAAGAAAGAGGACCAGGAAGAGGCTCCGGGGGCGGGGCCAGAGAGGCAGGGGATGCCCTAAAAAGCACTAGAAAGTGAAGTCCATTTCCTACAGCCCTAGTATGCCTGCAGGATGTTAAACTTGGGCATTTAGAAAGCTTTCTTCTATGATTGCATAGACTTTGGAAATGATTCCTGGAGAAGTAATTGCTATTACAACCACAAAACAGTCTCACCTGTTTCCTGAGGGCCAGGTCTGGGGAGGGAGCCACCTCTCCCTATCTCCCAGCTCCATCCCTCCTACCCACAGACACACCCAAGTCTGCTCCATCCTTAAAAGTCACAGTGGATTCTTCAGTCTCCACTAGCAAAGACCCTATATCATCCCAATATCAGAAAAAGGTCTGTACTTCCATTTCCCCTCCTCCTCCCCACCCCATGGCTCCTTGTGACTCCCTGTGCCTATCTGTTTCTCTCTGTCTCTGTGTGTCTGTCTGTCTCCCTCCCTCCCTCCTCTCTCTCTGTCTCTCTCCAATCTTTCTCTCTTTCTGTTTCTCTCTGTGTCTGTCTCTGCCTCTGTCTCTCTCTGTCTCTTCCTTCCTCCTCTCTCTCTGTCTCTCTACAATCTTTCTATCTCTCTGTTTCTGTCTGTCTGTCTCTGTCTCTGTGTCTCTGTCTTTCTGTGTCTCTATCTCTCTCTCCCTCCCTCCCTCCTCTCTCTCTGTCTCTCTCCAATCTCTCTCCGTGTCTGTCTCTGTCTCTCTACAATCTTTCTATCTCTCTGTTTCTGTGTGTCTGTCTCTGTCTCTCTGTCTCTGTCTCTCTCCCCCTCCCTCCCTCCCTCCCTCCTCTCTCTGTCTCTCTCCAATCTTTTTCTCTCTGTGTGTCTGTTTCTGCCCCTGTGTCTGTCTCTATGTCTCTGTCTCTCTCTGTCTCTCCTTCTCCCTCTCTTTCTGTCTTTTCTCTGTGTCTTTCCTCTCTCTCCCTCTCCTCTCCCTCTCTCTGTCCCTCTCCTCTCTCTCTCTGTCTCTCTCTCTCTGTGTCTCTCTGTCTCTCTCTCTCTGTGTCTCTCTGTCTCTCTCCCTCCCTCCCTCCTCTCTGTCTCTCTCCAATCTCTCTCTGTGTCTGTCTCTGTGTGTCTCTCTCTCTGTTTCTCTGTCTCTCTCTTTTTCTCTGTCTCTCTGTCTCTCTGTCTCTCTCTCTCTCTCTCTGTCTCTCTCTCTCTCCTCTCTCTCTCTCTCTCTCTCTCTCTCTCTCTCTCTCTCTCTCTCTCTCTCTCTCTCTCTCTCTCTCTCTCTCCCCCTCCCTGCCTCCCTCCCTCCCTGTCTCTCTCCTCTCTGGCTCTGACCCAACTGACCATCCTTGGTTCTCCTACCCACCTGCCTGTCCCTTCTCAATCCACTTTGCTGCCCCATGTCCCTCTCCCATTTCCTCGGTGTCCCCCAAGTCTCTGTCTATCTTAGAGCTTCTTCTCCTCTCTTTCACACACTCACGATCTCATCAACTCCCATGGGATTAATTATCTCCATGCATGTGATTTCCAAATCTGAATCTAGCCCTGGCCTCTCCTGGGCTCTAATCCTATATCACCAATGGCCAATTAGAATTTTCCTGCTGGATGTCCCCTATTTATTCCAAATTCATCCTTTCATTCTCTTTCCCTCGGAATTCTCCTATTTGCCTCTGTCTGTTACGGCCACATTTCCAGCCTCCTGGGTTTGTACCGCACTGTCATCCTCAGCTCCTCACGCCCCTAGCCCCCTGTGTTTTGTCCATGCTGCACATTCACCATCTCACTCCTCTGTCCTCTTCTGTCCACTAACACACTCCTGTTTCCCAAGAAAGGCTCTGAATTCCTCAAGAGCAGGGACTTTTCTTTTTGTCTGTGTTTCTGCCCCCCTGGCTGGGTGCCTAGGACAGAGATGTTTACTAAGCTCTTTTCAGCTGAAGGAATGATTGTTGATTCTTTTTTGGGTGGAGTTCGGGTTTTGCCACCGTTTAGGTCCTTTGAGTCGCCAAAAAAAACTAAAACAATTTGCCATAAAATGGAACCTTGTCTTAGGAAAACAACCCTCTCTTCCAGTCCTTGGGCCGTTTATCTTAGCTGCCTTTGGAAAACCGAGGTTGGCCATCACCTGGGGGGGCACGGTTTTCAAAAGCTCTTGCTATGACTTTATTTTAGGGAGCCTCCCCCCAGCCCAGACATGATGGGACCACAGGCCTGATTATTCTCTTTGGACACCTAAGCAAAGTGGGGCTCAGGCCCTGGGTGTCCCTGGACTCCAGGCGAGGGCCCTTGCTGCTGCACAGCACGTCTTGTTGGGGCAGGGGCAGAGAGGGCCACAGAACTCCTCACCTCAGAGGAGCTCATGACCTCAAGGCAGTGTGGCTCCAGAGGGCAGAGCTGGGAGTCTGCCAAGTTCCCTCCCAACTTGTCAAGCCTTTCCCCACCAGCCTCACATCTGACCCCATGATCCTGGTCACTGTCCAGGAAAGTTTCTGTTCACTTTGGCACAATGAAGAAGCCTGACTGGGCCAGGGTGTCTGGTTTGACTGCTTTTTGTTTCCCCTTTGCCCTATGTCTGCATCATGACCCAGAGCTTACAGGACCCTGTAAACAAGTTGATAGAAGATGCCGAAAAGAAGGAACGAGCCAAGAAAGAAAGCTTGGAAAGGGAGCCCCAGCAGCCAGACTCGTAAGTGGGGACCCATCTTCCCCCTAACAAACATTTAACTCCTTGTGCTGGGAGGCAGTCCCTGGCCTCAGGGGACTTCCATTCTGTTGGGGATGGGGTGCAACGTGGGCCCAGAGGTGGATGGGGAACAGGCAGAGGAGATTTCTCCTCTTCTCTCCCATGGCCTCTCTGTCTTTGTTGTAACAAAATCGGGGGAGCTTGACTTTCCCATAAACGGTCAGCCTGGAATTAAGGTTAGTTTGAAGTGCTTAAGAACGCTCCTCCAAAGTGCACAGCAGACTGAGCCATCTTCTTTTCTGCTCAATTGAAGGCTGATATCACTGGATGTGGAAAACCCTGACATCACGCCCGCCTACTTCAGTAAGTTTTGTGTTTCTTTGGCCTTCCACATAAAGCTCAGCGGCTCTCTTCCCACCTCGGATTTCTGGGGCTCTCAGGCTTGAATCTTTCAAAAGTTAGAGGATGGTCGGGAAGGGGGGTGGGCTCCTGGGGGTCCTGAGGGGGCACCTGGAAGATGTCATCCCAGACATCTGCCTGCCCTGGAGGCCAGAGGTCAGCCGTGCTCTGGGGGCTTCCTTGTCTGTCCCAGAGCACCCCCGAGGCCACTCTGAACTGGGGATCCTGCCAGAAGCAGTGTGTTGTCCCTCCTCTCCTGGTTCCTGTTTCTGCCCCTGCTTCCTTCCCTCCTTCCTTTTGCTTCCCCTTCCAAAGGAGGCAGACTGACCCTGCGGAGGGCTGGAGTCGAGCCTGCTCCGCTGCGTGTGTGCCCTGCGGTAGCCTCCAGCTCTCTGAGCCCAGTCACCGAGGCTGTGAAGTGAGGAGCCTGGGCTCAAGGATTTCGGAGCTTCCTTCCAGCTCCAGATGGGGGGTCCTGGGATTGGGCGGGTTTCTGTGTCAGGCTGCTGAGATCCCCCCTTGCCGGAGGATACAGGACAGGGAGGGGAGGAGCTGCAGGCCTGGGCCTCCGGGTCTGGGCCACGTGTGTCTGTGGGACCTCAGCAGTGATGCTTCTGGGAGAGCAGCTCCTCTGCCCACCCATCACCTTCCAGCACGTATGCACGCATGCTCAGACAATGCATGCAACAGTGTTCAGACACACATGCACATCCTCAGACATAGGATGCACAGCGCTCAGACACATGAATACACACGTGTTCATACTCATGCACGCAATGCTCAGACACGCCTGCATGCATGCATACACATGCTCAGATAGCACAGGTATGTGCATGTGCTCAGACACACATGCACACTCATATTCAGATGTGCATGTATGCATACACATGTTTGCACGCACATTCTCATACACATACATTTGCTTTCAAAATGCATACATGTGCAGGTATGCACACAAGCTCAGGCACACGTGCACATGTACACACACAATGCAGCATGCTTGTGCACTCATTTTCAGACACGTATGCATGCGCACACTCATACTCAGACATGCAGATGCACACATACCATCCATTCTCTGTGTTGCCCTCCCCTCTCCCTCCAGAGGAGGTATGGTGAGAAGGCCAGATCCCCCAGGCTCCTCGGGCTCACAGGGAGATGAGTGTCCAGGGCAGAGTGTTGCCTCACCTTCTTGCCTTCAGAATGAGGAGGAGCTCAGACCTGTCAGGAGCTCTGTGCCTCAGTTTCCTTGCCCAGAAAGCACCACTGCCACGTTAGATTGAACCATGCCTAGTGTGCCTATCAGGCTGTTGAAAGTCAAGCTTGTGGGGAAGGGAAGGTCAACATCAGCCCCTGATGGTCCAGACCCCAGGAGGGCCGAGGTCGCTGCATTTATTTCTGTGTCCCTGGTGCCTAGTACAGAGCCTGGACCATGGGTGTGGCCTCATCGCCTTTGTCTGGATTGGTAGGGGAGAAAGGGAAACCAGCAGTTCCTCCCACGTCTGATGGGCCCATCTTTTCTTTTTCATGAAGGTTTTCTCCACAAGCCTGTGCTTCAGGGCTTATTCCAAGTGGGTTCCCTTCCTAAGGCTGCCCCCCAATAGGACCATCTGCTGGCTGCTTGGGCTTTTCCTTAGAGGGAGTTAGCTTCCCCCACCTCAGTCTAGCCAGCAGCCATAAAAACAAACTACATTCTCAGAGGTTGGGGTGGCACCCTTTTAGCCAAGGTAGCTCATGAGCATATGTGAATAATATGTGTTGAGTGTCCACAGACACCTGGCACTTGGGATGGGAGAGGCCATCCATTCAAATTGCTGTCTTGTGAATGTGGCCCTACAGCCCACCTGTCCTCATCAGAGTGAGCTCTGGCCAATACCTGAACCAGTGGCTGCCACCTTCTGGAAGCTGGGCCCTGGCCCCTGGCCATTGTGGGATGTGACCGAACCCCTGACCCATGGCCGTTGTGAGATGTGACCCTGCCCCTGGCCCATGGCCATTGTGGGATGTGACTTTGCCCCTGGTGTTATAGTGGTAATAACCAGCTTGCTGTGTTCTGATTCCAGCTGAGGATGAAAAGAATGCCTTCTCCACCCTAGAAGAGGAGTCGACTCATATCCAGTGCTCAGGTAATTGGGAGGGAAAGGCTGGCCTCAGTTTACCACATTGACTTGGGAATGCTTGGACAACTAAGTTGACTTGGTTTTCTCCCTCTGAAGGAACCATTGATGAGCTGTTGGACCTGATGCCGTCAGAGACAGGTAAGAACAGTAAACTTCTCTGGGATTTTAAAATTTCTGAGGTTTATAAAATCAAGTCTATAGAAAATTAGCATCATATTTTCACCTTCGCATTTTAAAATGAGCGACTTTCTCAATGTCTATGAGACCTATCTTGTTGAAGGTCAAAGCATAGCTAGGCCCGATGGAAAGGCCTCTGATGCCCTCCCAGCTCTGAAATCCTATGGCCCAGAAACATGGCCCTATTACTGCCAGCCTGCCCTAGAAGGGTCATGTCTGGAGCATAAGTGTAGGTGGTTCAGACCAGCCCATTTCAGAGACTTCCCAGCCCAAAAAGGAGGCTGCTGGACCCCAGGGTAGAGATGACCAAGGCACCCATCCGGAAATCTCTCCAGCGCTGCTTCTGCTCCAGCTCCCGCCTGCGTGTGGAGCTGAGGCAGGTCTGGGCCAAAGAGAGTCACGCAGCCCATGTTGGCCAGAGAGGGTCTGGAGGGTTTTCCTGCCTCCACCCATACCTCATGGGGCCCCTGAAGATCTTGCCTGAACCATAAAGCAGTGCTGTTCTTTAGCGTGGGACACCAGACAGACTCGGTCTCTTTGGTTAGGCACCTTGGGACCGAGTTCACCAGGGTGGTGCCACCCGCCCGGCATCTTCAAGATGCCATGCTGAGCTGCGGGTGGGAGGGAGTCGGATTTGGAGGGTGTGGGCATGCTGTAAGCACACGTGTGCTCCAGCCGGTTTTGTGAAGGGTGTTCCTTCTCTTCTCCTGGTGGCGGTCCAGGTCTCTACCAAGAGCCAGGGCCACCATGACAAAGGTGTGGTTGGTTCCCACCGGCCACGTGCAGAGGGAGGAAGTCGGAGAGCTAAGCCCTGACGAGTTCCAGAGAAAAGCCACTGACATCTTTACTTAGAGCCACCCAATAGGGTCTACACCTCATTATTGCAGCTCCCACCCTCTGGTCAGGGCCCTCAGGCATTGACCCTCTGCCCCTCTCCCCGGCAGCTCCCAATTAGCCGAGATCTCAGTGAAATGCAGCCTTACAGAATCTCAGAGCCAAAAGGAACCCCCTCTCTCTAAAACCCTGCACCACAGGCCTAGCCCCTGGCCACAGAGGCTTTCCCAAAGCCCTCCGGGGAGGGGAAATTTTCTCCTTTCTCAGGCCTCCAGCTGCTTTGGGGTCGAGCAGCACACCTCTACAGGCCAAGCCTCCTTGAGGCCAATCCTCACCAGGCTCTTCAATGATGCTCCGGGGCCTGTGCTAAAGGCCTTGCCCATCCCTGAGCTGTGGGGCCCAAGGCCATCCGTGAGCCAGGCCCAGGGCTAAGTGCTGGGGGCACAAAGGTGAGCAGAAGATCCAGGAGTTCAGGTCTTAATGCAGAGAGACAACACCCGGGAGGATGAGAGAGAACCCCCCCGTGTGGGCGCAGTGAAGCAGGTAGAGACCCCACGGGCCTGGGAGAGGAATGTGAGGACAAGGCCAGCCCAGGCATGCTACTGAAAATGGACCAGGTCGATCAGAGCAGGGGGCCCCAGAGAGGCATGGACTTCCAGGGCGAGGGGGCTGCAGGGGCAGCATGGAGAGCCAGGATGAGGGGGTGGCTGTGACATGATTTAGCAAGTGCCAGAGTAGGGAGAGTCAGGCTGGAGCCAGGAGAAGGTCAGAGGTGAGAGGTCGGGGTTCCCGGCGTCTGCCTGAGGCCACTGCTGACTCCCATGGAGCCCCAGGGGTTCTCCATGTCTCCCCCCTCTTAGAACCATGACATTGGCTGAGATTCTATTATCTTAACCCCATCAAGAAATCAAAGGCCCATTTTCCAGTCCGATCTGCTTAACTAGCTACACTTCACATATGCCTGCCTAGGGCAGCCGGGGCTGCAGTGCACAGAGCACCCAGCCTGCAGTCATGACAGCCTGAGTTCAGATGTGGCCTCAGACACTTACTAGCTGTGTGACCCTGGCCAAGTCACTTTTGGGACCTCTGTCTGCCTCTGTTTCCTCATCTGTCAAATGGGGTCAGTAATAGCACCCGCCTCTCGTGGCTGTCGTGGGAATTACTGGGCACAGTGTGTGCAGTAGGTGCTGTATAGGTGCTTATTCTCTTCCCTTCCCCACCTTCCCATGGCAAGAGGCTCTTCACTCCCCACCTAGGACAGAACACTTTCTGGAGACAAGCTGTCAGGGCCTAGCATCACCCCAACTGCTTAGTGGCTTGGGAGACACTTCCCGGAAGGGAGCATGCTCCCAGGCATTCATGTTGGGGACCGTTGCTGCCTCTGTGCTCCCCAGAGGACCTGTCTCATCTTTCTGTGGCTAAAGCTGAGGCAGCTGGGTGGAGGATAAGACAGAGTGCAGGCGTTGGGGGATGGGCTCCTCCCTTAGGCACTAGCCACTTAAACTCTGAGCCTCAGTTTCCTCATCTGTAAAAGAGGGATACCAACAATCTTGTAAGGATCAAATGATGTAAAATGCTTTGCCAACCTTCAAGCACTATGCAAATGTTATTTTGTTGTGATTATTAATAATTACTATTATTGGGTGTCCCCAGAAGCTCCTGGCAGTACCCAGTTCTCATGTCTCCTGAACCCCATCCAGAGCTGCCCCACTGGTGTCACCTTCCCCTACTGGCCTCTTCTCCTGTTCCATTCAGGGCTTCCCTTCACCAAGTTATACTCTTTTTCTTCCTCTCTTGAAGCATAGGGACACTCCCAATAATGCAGACTTAGTGCTGGCCCTTAAGGTCAATCCTAGTTCAAAAAAAAACTAATGGGAAAAGAAAAAGGCCCAGTGATGGAGATGCTGATCCACACCTCCCAGCCCCACTCCACAAGCCTCATCCTGGAAGCCAGGGGAAGGGGTCCCTCTAGCCTCCTCCTTCTCCTCAGGGCTTCTCAGTCCCATGGACTGGGCATTGCCAAGGACATGGAACCCTAGTTTCACCTGCTTCCTTGGGGTTCTGGTCCATTCCCATGCTCCTCCCACATGGATTTGCACTTCTTCTGTCTCTATTGGGCAGATCACTGAACTCATCTCATGACCCAGCTGACGTTATAGTTCTATCCACTGGACATCACAAGCTTCCCTCAACCAAAATATATCAAATATGGAGCTACTGGCCTATTCTATAAGTGATTATAGAAATCTCTCTATAAATCTTCACCCACCCCCCATTTTCTTCTTTGATATTCTAGAGAATACTGCCAGCAGGCTTTGTCCACCCAGCGGTACTGTGGCGGTGTGCCCATCTCAGCCCTCAGTCAGACCCAGCGTTAGTGCAGCGGTGACACACCAGACACCCCAGGAGAGGACAGGTCTTAGGTCAGGAGGCAGGCAGGGCAGGATTCCAGGCACTGTGGCCTCCACCCAGCCTTTAGAGCCAGTGTCCAGAGGAGTAGCAAGCCCCATGTCTGGAGGGTAGAGCAGGGGGATTTCACTGCGGGGGGCCACAGAAGGGGGGTTGTTTCTTCCTCTGATCTTGCTTTAATTTGTATCTTCTCTATCCCTTGGGGTGATAGCAATCCCAGAAAGAGACAGAAAGGGAGAGAGGAAGAGAGAGGGGGGGAAGGGTGAGAGGAGGGGGAGAGACAGAGACAGAGAGAGAGAGAGAGAGAGAAGAGAGAGAGAGAGAGAGAGAGAGGAGAGAGAGAGAGGGAGAGAGAGACACAGAGGAGAGAGACAGAGACAGAGAGGAGATAGAGACAGAGACAGAGAGAGGAGAGAGACAGAGAGGAGAGAGAGACAGAGAGAAAGAGAGAGAATAGAGGGAAGAGAGACAGGAGAGATACAGAGATAGAGACAGAGAGGAAAAAGGAGAGAGACAGAGACAGAGAGGAGAGACAGAGACAGAGAAAGATAGAGAGAGATCTTGAATTCTCTACAACCATATCATAACCCTGGATGGAGCCCCTTTTGCTCTCTGACCATTGTTTTTCCATGTCTCCCTTTTGTGTGTTGGTAATGATCAAGTTGGCATTTGAGGTTTTCATCTTGGTTCAAGTGGCTTAGATATGTGATTAATCATAATGTAGAGGGAAGGAACCAGGGAGAAAAGCAGAGACATAATCTTCCTGGTTAAGATACAGTTGATGAGAAAAAGAAGTCAGCCTTGTCTTGGTTCTTCTGTCCTCTGCCCAGGAAGTTTGTTTTCCCTGGCCTGGCTGTGTCCTCAAAAGGCCATTAAAGTTTATTTAGAATCAAAAATATCCTAGGAGGAGCAGATGGGGTGAATGGCTCTTGGTGTGCTGTCTCAGCTCCTAGACAAGCCCTTTTCAATGCCCATAGTAGCTAGGGTTAGGGTCATGCTGAGCAGATCTCTCAACTCTGCCAGTGTGTGGAGAAAGAGGCTGGCTCACTGGCTTTCCCTATGTATTGGTGGGTGCTGGGGGACCCAGCCAGGACAGAAAGGCTGTCTTTTGGCCTCCTACCCTGGCTGTGCTGGTCCTCCTGGGGGGGTGGCAAGCTCAGGCTCTAAGCAAATGATGAGGAAAAGGGCCTGCCTGTGTCCATGTTCAGGGGCACATTTTATTTGAAAGGTGTGCCTAGAACTGCTTTTTAAAAGGTGGCTTTTAAGTAGTTCGCAGTTTATAAAGGCTGCAGTGATTTTCACTGAGCAACATGTCAGGCAATTTACACAGGTTTCCTCCCACCCTTCTAGGCATGTGCTTTGTCAGCCTCCCTGAAAACCATCAGCCATCAGGGGGCTCTCTGTCCCTATGTGTGATGCCATCTTGGATACATCAAGAGAGGCAGAGCTTCCAGTAGAAGAGATGAGGGTTCTGCCAGACTTCTGCCCCAGTCAGAGCACTCTTAGGGGACTGTGTTCAGCTCTGGACACCACAGTGTAATGAACTAGAGAGTATGCTGAGCTCAGCAACCTGGTCGAAGGGCCTCAAGACCGTGTCATATGAAGACTGGTTGAAGGAACAGGGATGGTTAGTCTAGAAAAGAGAAGGTCCAGGGAGGACATGATTGAAAAGGTGTCATGTGAACAAAGGATTTCCCTTTTTCTGTCTGGCCCTCATGGGTAAAATCCAGAGCCGTGGTTAGAAGCAGCAGAGAGGCTCCTTAACCATTACAGCTGCCCCAGTGTGGAATGGACTGCCTTGGACATTGTGAGGAAGACATGAGGCTCAAAACCTATGATGCAGAAGAGAGTAGAGGAGGCGAGAAGATCAGGCTTCCTGCCAATCTTGGTGTGGGGGTCTTCCAGGGAATGGGGGAGAGAAGGAGGCCAAGCAGTGAGCTACCAGCCAGAACGCTGGGTGTGCTGGCCCCTGTGGCCTTTCTCCAGCTTCTCTCCATGGTTCCATTTCCTCTCCTCACTGAGGAGACGACAGCTTGTTGGGCAGGCTTCCTCGTAAGGGGTCTCTGAAGGAAGCCCAGCTCAGCCTTGGCCCTTGGGTGAGCTCTGCTCCATTTCCTGCACTTCCCATTGGTGCAGCCACAGGCACTTTCCGTTTCCTGGGGCCCACAGGCTGGGTGTTGGGCAGTGACTTTGTCTCCCAAGCTGTTTTTACTTGTTACTTTGAGGGGTTGGTGTTGTGTGCTAGGCACAGGAGGCCCAGCAGGCTGCTTTGCTCCTGCCCAGCTGTGCCCAGGCCAGCTTTGCCCACTGGTGACCACCCACCAGTGGCTCCATAACTTTCATTTCCAGTTGGCGGCTCCAGTGGGTGAGAAGCTGAAAATAACAAAGGACCACAGATAAGGGTTCTAGAAAGGTGATGTGGAAACTCCTGGAGGGCCCTGAGACACTTTCATAATAAAATACTAGGATGTTTTCATTTCTGATACAGTAAACATTGATAGATGTGATCCATATAACCCACATAAACAAAAGGGGTTTTGGGGTGGCAGAGTCCTGATAATCTCTAAGAGTGTAACGGAGTCTCCTGAGAAGTACTGGTCCCAAGGACCACAGCAAGGCTGTGCTTTGTTCAAGGCCTGGGAAGTCATTCTTGCCCATGAGTGTTGAGGAGTGTCAGGAAAGGCCTCCCATAGGAGATGGCCCCAGGCCTAAGCCTTGAGGAGAGCCAGGGATTATGGGAGGAAGAAGGAGGAAGGTGGGGAGGGAGTGTTTTCCAGGCACGGGATACAGGCCACGCAAAGGTTGGGAGGCTGGAGGTGGAAAGAGCAATAATTAGGCTCTTCTGGCCCATGTGGAGGAAAGGCCTGTGCCATCATGTCAGGAAAGGTGGACACCAGCCATATCGTGAGGGGCTGATGAGGCGCTTCCTTTATTGTGACCATAAGGAAGCCATCCCCGCCCTGGGGTGGGGGGAGGATCTATGGCCACATGACTATGAGCCCCCCCACCCCCACCCCAGTTTGCATGGTTGGCTGGATGAAGCTGTCCCACCTGTGCCCCAATTCTCTGCCCACCCCTGAGCTCTGGGGCCACCAGGCAGCTCCAGAAATGCAGAAAAGGGTCTTGGTGAAGGTGCCATCATCTTGGGGCTCACTCTGGCTGGAAGCAGACCAATGTCAGGTGGTCACTTGTCTTTGTATGCCCTTGGGGCTTTTTAGTGGAAAGACTTCAGTCTCATCCCAATTTGTTCCTGGAAGATGGAGTTGACTGTGGGATTGACAGAGTGGATGGGATTGACTTTAACCCTAGAGTCTCTCAAAATCGTGTTGGGATGACATGCCTGGGTGCTTCTGAGCTCTTTGAAAATGGTATTCTCCTCTCTCCTCTTCCCTGAAGACCTGCTGGGTGGGGGGCAGCCTCCCAGCCCCCTCCCTCCTAGGCCTCCCAGGTAACCGTGACCAGTGTCTATCTGTTCCTTTCCAGGGGCCTCGGAGTCTGAGGTGACCGACAAGGACGACATGCAACTGCTTAATGAGATTCTCAATGCATCGTCCTTGGATGAGGGAGACTTCAGCAAAGAGTGGAAGGCGGTCTTTGGGAACAAGCAGACCCCAGAGCCCACCGCCACGTGTGTGCCAGGAGAGCCAGAACCAGGACCCCCTCCATCACCAAGCTTCCTCCCTTCCCAGCTGCTAGACAAAAATATGCATGACTTACAGTCATCCCTCCAAGGTCAGTGTCCAGCAGCGTTTGGAGGACAGACATGCAAGCCCAGGGTCTCTCTCTGCTTTTCTTTCCTTTCTTCCCATGGCCATGGCCTCAGTTAGAATCATGTTTTGGTTTAGAATAGTTTGTTAAATTTACTTCTCAAGTTTTTCTCCCTGTATCAATTAACCAACAAACATCTCTTGAGCCAAGCCTGTCCTGGGCCACGTGCAGGGGGTTGGCACCGTAAAATCATGACTTGAGCTAGACCTTGTGTTGGAGCTCCCGCTCTCATAGGGGATGACAACGCATTGAGGAGGACAGGAGAGGGGGTGGAGAAGCAGAGACAGCCAGAGAGCAAGAAGAGCATTTGTTTGGCACCAGCTGTGTGCCAGGCTCCGTGTTAAGCACTGGGCGGGCAGAGAAAGGCAGAAACACTGTCCCTGCCCTCGAGGAGCTCACATCGAATAGGGGAGACCTTGCAGATAACTGGGCACAAAGCAGACAGGAAGGGGGTGAGCAAGGTAATCTCAGAGGGAAAGGCTTCCTTCAGCAGACAGGCTTGGAAGGAAGCCGGGGAAGGTTCCCTCCTGAAATGACAGGAGCTTAGCAATCAGAAGAGAGGGCTTCAGGGTGAAGAGGGTTTCTCCCCGGGGCAAGGTGGCCGGTGAGCTGGAGAAGACCAGGGGGCTTGAGGTTAGAGAATGCTGAGCGCCGAGTCCTCTTCTCCCCTTTGCATGTGGGAGCGGGGGCGGGGAGGGGGGAGGGGGAGCCTTAGGAGCTTGCGTCCAAGGTGGACCACAACGACACAGACGCAGAAGGGGAGGTCATCCTGGTGGCCTGCTCCAGTGCAGTCAGTGCCTTTGTTGAATTTCAGGCTGGAGAGAGAGCCCGGGCAGCCCTCCAACCATCTGGAAGCCATCAGTGGCCCCCAAGCCCGCTAGCAGCACCACGCCCCCTGTGAAAGGTGAGCTGGTTTGTTGCGGAGCGCTCTGATGGGTGGGAGGGGCTTGCTGGGAGGATGGGGGTGGGGAATGGCCCCCCAGGATGCGCATTACGACCTTCCTGCCCACGGGGGGTGAATCCAAGTCTCCGGCCCTCTCAGGAGGGGGGGTCTAAGGTTCTGTGAGCTCCTGCCCTGTTGAGATCCTCTGAGCATCTTCCCTTCCCTTGTTCTTTCCCTTAACCTCCCTCCTAAAACCAGGCCACCCTGGAAAAGCTACCTAGTGGCCCCAGTTTTCACAACGGTGGCCCTGACATTTACGCCCATTGGGACCCCCCCCCAACCTTGGGCAGGGGCCTCAGGTTTCTCCTCTGTAAAATGGGGGGAGGGTTGGAGTCGATGACCCATATGGTCCCTGACCGGAAACTTCAAGGCATCAGACTAGCTCACCTCCTCAGTGTTCTTGGTGCAAAAGCTGTGGGGTGTCTCCTGAGGGGGTCAGGGCTTGAGGGTTCAAGGCCCTCCCAGCTGGGGTGGGGGCAGCAGGGCTGGGCTAAGCGAGGCGTGAGAAAGAGAAGGCCTGACTGGGGGGAGGGAGGATGGTTTGGTGGCCCGGGGGCAGGGAGGGAGTGGAAGGGCTGCCGGAGTCTCCCAGGGGGGCCCCTTGACACCCCCCGCCCCCCTCCCCGGACGTTGTGCCGGTGGCTGACGGGCGTGTCTTCTCCCAGAACCCGAAAAGAGCTCTCGAGACCTGACGGCCTGGTTCAGCCTTTTTGCCGACCTGGACCCACTGTCCAACCCGGACGCTGTCGGGAGAACGGACAAAGAACACGAGCTGCTCAATGCCTGAGTCCGTGCGGGTCGAAGCGCACTGGCGCCGCTGCCACTGCGTGGCCGGCCTGATTACTGCGTGAATGTTTCTGTGCCATGACAATAAAAGGGGACAGGTAGAAGCCCTGTTTATATTGCTAGTGCCGGTGCCAGTGTTTGGTACTTCTCGGGTTGATGCGGATTTCAGTCGTGGGAGCCGAGGCAGGAGCAATGGGCTTGGGATCACAAAGACCCGAGTTCAAATCTAGCCTCAGGCCTGGCTGTGTGTGATCCTGGGCAAGCCATTTCACTTCTGTTTGCCTCAGTTTCTCCATCTGTAAAATGAGGATATTAATAGCAGCTGTCTCTCAAGGTGGTTGTGAGGATCAGATGTAAAGCACTTTGCAAACCTTAAAGTCTGTTATTAGTATTGATTTATTACGGGAGGTTAAACAGTGATGACAAATCCTTCAGGCTGTTTTCAGCCTCTGTCCCTCCCGGGCCTCCGGCGGTACCTACCTGTATGCCAAGCGGCATCTACATTTGCGTGTAAATGGAAACCCCTTTGAAGGCCAGGAGCAGCCCGATATTCCGGTGCTGCCATGAGCTGTGTGGGACACCCACACAGGGATCGTTAGCAGCAGGACCCAAAGCTGGGCTGGCCAGGCGGCTGAGGAGCTCCGCTCCCCACGGCCTTCTGTCAAAGGCGCCAAATGGTCGGCAACGAGTGAGTGCCAGGGTGACCACCTCTGACCCACAGAACACATCTGGTGAATGGGCTGGTGGCAGGTGCTGAGCAGGAGGGAGGCCCTTTTACTGCCTCATCTCCCAGCCTTGCCCCCAGCAGCTTCCTTCTGTGGGCAGCAGGTGGAAAGGTCAGAGTCTGCTCATCACCAGCAAAGAGAGGAGATGCTTTTCTTTGAACCAAAGAAGAAACGCTGGTGACCATCCCCGGATGACGCGTCAACTAGGCTCACAACTGGAACATGAGCAGCAGTGTCCCAGGAGCTGAGCACAGGCTCGCAAACAACCCATTTGTTCCTCAGTCCCCCGCATTTCTCTCATCCGCATTTCTCTCATCCGTCCATTCATCAGTCCCAGAGCGCTGATAAAGGCCTTCCCTGTGCAGTCTCCGCGGGGCCCTGGGCTTAGCACCGGCGGTACCGAGGGAGGTAGCTCGGACCAAAGAGCTTACTCTGAGTTGGGGGGTGGTGCAAAGCTGAGGCCCCAGGACAGTGTTAGGAGCAGGACAAGGATGGCAAGAGCTGGGCCCCGAACAGAAAGAAACGAGGGAAGTCACGTCCAGGCTCGGGGCACTGCCCGGGCAAAGGCAGAGGTGAATGAGCTGGTGAGGACAGCGAGGACCGCGGGCGACAGGAGACATCTGGAGCAGGCTCGCGTGTTGAAGGGCCTCAAAGGCTGCTGGAGACAGGCGCGGGCACTTGTGGAGGGGCAGGATCGGAGGCTTTCCTCGGCTTCCGTGGGAGTGGAGAAGAGGGAACAGCTGGAGCTCTGCAGAGGGACAGGTGAGGAGGCTGAGGAAGAGGGGAGCCCCAAGGGGCCTGACACAGACTGCACCTGGCTCCCGTGAGAGGAGCTCTCTCTTCAAGGACCTTCTTGGTCCCGTTCAGATTCCTCCTCTGGCGCTTGCACGACCCGGATTCCTACTTTTCTGAGCACTACCAATTACAAGTGCCTCCCCCAACAGACCGGGATGTCCTGGAGGCCAGGCGCTTCCTTACATCTACATCTTTGAGGCTGCAGCACCTCGCACGGGGCCAGACAGTGTTCACTGAACTGAATTCTCAAACAAGGTGATGAGCCCAAGTCACTCTTCATTGGGGAAGGGGAGGTCGTGCCGGGGGTCTCCGCAGGTGCCTTCCTGTTGGAGCTCTTGGCAGGGAAGTCCCAAAAGGAAGCATGGGATTCACCAGGTGACACTGTCCCGTTGCCTCTTCCACCTGAATTCCCTGCCCCAAGATCAACACCCGGGAGATCTGTTCATGCATGGCTGCTCACTGCCCATCATGGAGGGTGGCCAGGGTGTGGCGAGGCTCCAGTGAGACGCTGGATGTAAACCATTTTGCAAACCAGAAAGCGCTATAGAAAAGCCAGTTGTTACACTCATTATTGGCCTCCCTGGGCCTTCAACTCCACAATCCTACTGGGCTTAAGCCAAGTTTACAGAGCCGTGCGCTGCTGCGTGTTTAACAACCAGGCCCGTGTATGCACACGTGCTGGGAGACACATTGGCAGGCCCTGATTGACTCTGCTTTCTGAGGTGTACACTCTCCCACACACTATACAATGGCTCTCAAAAGCCTGGCTCCAGCAGGTCCCAAGGCCCTGGAGATGCCAAGGGCTGGGAGGGTCCTTTCCCCAACTCTGTCCAGGAAAACACTTTGAGTGATAGTCACAGAATGTTCAGCCCAGAGAACAGCTGGGGGGGGGGGGTTGCCCACAATTCCTTCGATCTATGCATGGGAAGGGAGAGGCTAGCAGATGTCTGCCACTCTGGAGCTCTGCCTGCAAAGGGCTGAGCCAGCCTGCCCGTGAGAGTGGGGGCCACCAGTTTGTCTAAGGGGAGGGCCACACTGGAGACAGCAGGTTCTGATGACCAGCAGTGAGTGAGCTTCTAGACCAAGGGAGACAGGGAGGCCCATTCTTTTTTAAAGGAGAGAGGGTCAGTTCAGCTGCTGGATTTCATCCCCCCTCACTTGGTATCCTAATTGGTCTCCTTGCCTCCAGCCTCTCCCAATTCCCAATCTCCCAATGGTCTGTCACAGACTGGCCAAAGGGACTGCTCTAACCAAATGCCCTTCCTCCAGCACATGCACCAATAAACCCCAGGGGCTCCTGTTTGGATCAGATTCAAGTGCCTTTCCAGACTGATGGCACATTAGCTGATAAAAACACATTCTAGGTTGTACCCCAACCAGCCTCCACACCTTTGCACCAGCTGTCTACTGTGCCTGGAATGAACTCCCTACTTACCTCTGCCTCTTAAAATCCTCAGCTTCCTTCAAAGCAACAAACACCTCCTCCCAGAAGTCTTCCCAGATTCCCCAACTGCTAGTGTTCTTCCAATGTCTGCGTGTTGTTTTCATTTTTGTCTTTGAATCTCCGTCAGCACAGTGCCTGGTACACAGTAGGTACACCATCATAAAATGAATCAGTAACATTTCCATAGCACCTACTGTGTGCCAGGCACTGTGCTAAGCGCTTTACAATGATCTCATTTAGTCCTCACAACAGCCCTGGGGAGAAGGTGCTTCTATTGTCCCCATTTTACAGATAAGGACACTCATCAAAAACCGAGGTTGAGTGACTTGCTCAGGGTCACACAGGTAGTAAGTGCCTGAGGCTGGATTTGAATGCAGGTCCTCCTGACTCCAGGTCCAAGGCTCTATCTGCTGGATGACTGGTTTGTTTCACCTCAGAGGACTGAGACCTCATCCACGTGGGGACTTCCTGCCCCTTCTCTTCCTGTGGGGCTCCCATCCACTTCTCCATGTATGATGCTCCTAAAGGGTCTGACAGCCCGTTCTTCTCACAGATTGGGTCCCAGCACCACGCTCAGGCTGCATCCTCCCTCCCCTCCCAGCCCTGCGAGCACTCAGTGGTGCCTGGGCCACTAATTGGAGGGCAAAGCTGTCATTGGCTCACAGTGGGTCTTCCCAGGGTACTTTGATTTTCCAGGTCTTGATTTTGTGACTCACAAAGCACAGAACATGACTGGGAAAGCTGTTTGGGCAGGGAGCAGCCCTAGGCCCCGTTCCTTGGAGAATTCCTCTCAGAGCCTTCATGGAAGCCACCCAGGCCACTCTCTCCTCCTCTCCGAGCTGGCTGCCCTGCTTGAGACATCTCTATCATGCCCCCCTGGTCTGGCACCTCCTTCCCTCCCCACGCCTGCTTTGGGGCTTCCTTCTGTGGTTGTCCCACCCACTTTAGATGGGAAGCTCCTTGAAAGCAGGGGCTGTCTTTCATATTTGCATCTCCAGCACTTGGCACAGTGGCCGATACATAGGAGGTACTTCATGTTTATTGACTGACTGGGTCCGACTCCTGGCCGGCTGCCGTGCCTGCTCAGATAGACACATGGACTGTCCATCTTATGGACGTGGCAGAAGTTGGTCCATGTGTATTCCTTCTGCGAGTGGTTTCTTCTGAGTGGAGGGCTTGGAGCAACCAGCACAGTGTCACCTATAAACAGAAGTGTTGTGTAGACCTCTCTCAATGATCCCTCCCCTATTTGGCTTCTGCCCGGCCAAATCCAATGGCCTTTTCTCCATCCTCACTCTCCACTTCTCTGCAGCCTTTGACATTGCTGGTCATGCTCTCCTCTCTAGATCTTTGGGACAGTCCATCCTCTCGGGGTTCTCCTCCTCCCAGACCGCTCTTTCTGGCTCTTTTGCTGGATCCTCCAGACCACACCCTCTCATCATGGGAGTCCCTCAGGTTCTATCCTGGGCCCTGCTCTCTGCTACTTCACTTAGTGACCTCACCAGCTCCCATGTATTTAATGACCATCTCTATGCTGAGGATCCTCAAATCTACCTCTCCTGCCCCAATCATCTCCAACTGCCTTTTAGACCTATCAAACTGGATGTTCAGTAGACATTTTAAATGCAATATATCCAAATCAGAACTCATTCTTTCCCCCAACCTTCCCTATTACTACTGTAGAGGGTAAAACCATCCCCCCAGTCCTCCAGGCTTTGCTACCTAGGAGTCATCCTGAATTCTTCACTGTGGCTTGCCATTTCCTTCTCCAGCTCATTTTACAGATGAGGAAACTGAGGCAAACAAGGTGAAGTGACTTGCCCAGGATCACACAGCTACTAAGTGTCTGAGGCCAGATTTGAACTCAAGTTGATGAGTCTTCCTGACTCTCGGCCCCTTGCTCTGTGCATTCTGGCGCCCCCTAGAGGGCTTCCTTCAAGTCGCACCTAAAAAACTACTTTGCATAGGAAACCTTCCCTAATTCTCCTTCTCTTTGTCATTTCCTATTTGTCCTATGTATAGCTTTCTTTGTAAACTTGTTTGCCAGCTGCATCTCCCATTAGATAGTAAACTGCTTGAGGGCAGGCACTGTCTTTTGCCTTTTTTTGCACCCGTAGGGGTGCTTAGCACGGTGCCGGGTACATAAATGTTTACTGATTCCTGCCGTAACACAGGTAGACACCTATTTCGAACGCTTCTTTGCACGCGACAAATGACAGACGTGGCTGGGCCCCGGCTTCTCTACCCCTCTGCTCCAGGGATGGACTCCACAGACTTCCCTGCGCTCCTGGCCCCGCGGTGGGCTCTGAGACTGCCAAGGCTGGATCTCGCCTGACACGCAAAGCCTTCCCGTGCTGAGGGGCTGCAGGGGAGAGGAAGCTGAGAAGCGCGTGGGCAGAAAGAGCAGGAGACTGGCAGGGAGCAGCCCCTGAGAGCCACGAGCTTGTCTGCACGGGCCGCTAAGGTCCTGGCGGTGACCGCAGAGGCTGTGTGGGGCTTCTGCAGAACCGGCCCTTCCTCTTCCACGCTTTCTTCATGAGAACTCTTGAGACAAGCAGAGGCGTTTCTGGACGAGGGAAGGCGGCCCTCAGGGTTGTCAGAGCTGGGGGCCAATCTCCTTTGAGTGGTCACAATCTCAGGCTGCCCGATGTCACCTCGGACATTGGGGTGTGTGTGTGGGGGGGTTATCTTTCATTTCTTTGAAAACTTCCTCTGTGAGATCTTGAAAATCAGTGTCTTATTCCAAGGATGTCAGAGCACAGTCCTCATCTGCACACAAAGAAATCTGTATAAATGCACTTTATTGGTGGTAGCAAAGAACAAAAACCAAGCAGGCATGGATTCCACAGATGCCATGGGGTATCTCTGTGCTGTGAGAAACGAAGCACAGGGAGGTCTCCGAACCCGAGCGGCGATGCGTATAGCCTGGGATACAGCGAGCACACGACCGAGACCGCGGAGGCAGAAGGACCAGGGGGCTCTGGAGCGCCAGTGTGCCGGCCCCACCTCCAAGAAAGCGTCTCCCAGCCTGCTCTACAGAGTGGGAGGCAAGTGTGGACTCGTCAGTTGCGCTCTGCCGAGTTTCGCCAAACTCTACTTTCTCCTCTTTGTTACAAGGAGAGGCTATCTGCACGGGGAAGGAAGGAGGGGCATTTTGAGAAACGAATGAAGATGATGTAGAAATAAATGACAACTCAAAAATAAGTAAAAGAAAAATCATCTCTGGGCATCTTTGAAGTTACACTGGCTTCAGCACAGATTTCTTATATACTTGTTCAGGTCCAGTCATTTATCATGAACTGCCCTTCTTCGGTACGCTCCTAATGAAAGCACACGGGACACTGAGGGAAGGGGGGAAGGAAGGAAGGAAGGAAGGAAGGAAGGAAGGAAGGAAGGAAGGAAGGAAGGAAGGAAGGAAGGAAGGAAGGAAGGAAGGAAGGAAGGAAGGAAGGAGGGAGGGAGGGAGGGAGGGAGGGAGGAAACATTCATTCAATGCTTACTACATGCCAGACACTACTTTGTTTCTGAAGAAAACAGGAAATAAGTTTTAGATCCCCCAAAGAAGGAGGCGCCCCTAATTACTCATGAGGCATGGCTGCATCTGTGCAAACACACACACACACACACACACACACACACACACACACGCCCCCTCAGCCACCTGGAAGGGGCACCCAAAAAAGCAGCAAAGGTAGTTGAGAAAAGAGAACAGTTGGTCACGAGAAACCAGGAGAGATTGCTGAAGCTGGGGGCTTCAGGCGGATAGCCTTGATGGCCAGACAGGAAGACTCAGGAGAAGTGGATGAGGGAAAGAGGAAGGAACGTAGACCAGACATCTGCCAAATGAGGAATTTTCCGGTAACAGTGTCTGGTAAAAAGGGTCATTATGTCAGCGGGTGGAAGGCGTGTCCTGGAGATGGCAGCTCTGAGGAACTCAGGTGGAGGAGGCTGCAGCAGTGTCATGGGAGCCTGGTTTACAGAACATAGATCTCATTCGAGGTACTTGTCAGAGAACCAGTGACCACAGGACCGCAGGCTGGAAGGACCCTCCATGGTAACGCCTTCTCTGGCCATCTTGTCTGGCCGTCTCTGCTACTGACCGCCCCCTTCTCCTGAGAACGTTCTCTCCAGTTTGCAGTTACCACGACTTCTCCCTTGTCTCCCAGACACCACCTCATTCAAGTTCTCAGCACCTGTCCCGAGTGCACCCGCAACACAGCCAGGTCCACCTGTGCACAAGGGTGACACGAGACCACCGAATGCTTGCTGAAATCTGACAGGGACCACATGCCCCGACTCCTGCATGTACCAAAGCCATCAAGAAGCTGGAGACTAGTTCATCTGCGAAGGTCTTGGGGTTTTCACGGACCGCACGCTCAGCACGGACTAGCCCTGAGAATCCTCTCCCAGCCAGCAGATCCTCCCCCAAATACCTGACCACAGCCTCCCAACTGTCCCTCTAAGACGACCACGGCCTTTCCAATCAATTACCAAACTGATCTGTGTGCTATCCCCTCACACATCGTCATCTCCTCCCGCCCTGCCTTTGCCCAGGCTGTCCCCTAGGGCCGTGGGAATGCTGTCTTCACCCCTACCTCTGACAAGGAGCCTTTCCTGTCCCCTTCCCCCCAAGGCTGCCTGCACAATTCAGTCCAATCCCGTTCATTAAGGAAGCTCCTCTGACATCCAAGGCTCTTAATTCCTCACATTTGTACCTTTTGGTGGCACAGGGGTATGCTCTGCCATCCACACGCTAAAATGCTCAGGCACTGCGCAGCTTTGGGTGGGCACCCTGTTTGCTAGAGCTGTTGTTTCGGTATCCACAGGGCTTCTGGTTGGGCTGTGCAGAAGTATATGTCCCCTCCCTGCCCTGGCACAGGGTTCAAAGGACACAAACAATTGAAGTGATTCTTCTGGCCTAATTCCAAATGGTTCTTCAAAATTGCTGGATCAATTTGCAGCTCTACCAACAATGTATCAACGTGCCTGACTTCCTAGAGCCCCGACCAGACTAGGGCTTTGATCTTTCTCCCTGTTAGGGACTGCCCAGGCTGCCTTTCAGAGTTATCACCCATCACTCCCCTTGAGGCCCTCGATCTCTGCCACATTCTGTCGTCCACCTTCACTCAGCCTGTGCATGTCTGGCATGCACTCACTCCTGAGCGCCACCTCTTAGAACACAATACTTCAGGTCTGGCCTGACCTGGGCAATACTGTTAGCTCCTTTCTTCTGGACATCAGGCCTCTCAATGCAGCTGAGGATCACACTGTTAACTCACTGAAAGCTTGAGGTCCACTGAAGCCCCCAGATCTTCTTTGAATGAACTTTTTAGAAAATTTTTTTATTAATTTATTCTGATTTTATCACCAATCACTTCCATAAGCTTTTGAGCTTTTAATTTTTCTCCCCCTCCCTCCCCCACCCTTCCCCAAGATGGCTTGCAATCTGATAAAGTGAATGAACTCATCTAGCCTTTGACACCTTGGTACAGCAGACTTTGTGAAGATAACCAGCCTCAGAAAACCTTGGCCAGGCTCACACTAGCTTTATGGATGGGCTGGGAAAGAGTCCTCCCCTTCCAGAATGCCCAGTAGCCTTTGCCCCTTGATGCACAGTAGGGCTGCCAGCTGCCTGGATGGAGGTCCCCGGGCCTGTGATCCTTCCACTATGCATTAAAAAGGCTTTTTCTTTCCTTTTTTCTAAACCAAAGAAATACCCCAGGACACAGCAGTGTCAGCACCTCATCCTTAGAGGCTGTTTTGCCTCAAGTTAAAAACACTTCATTCCCACAAATCCTTTGGCTATAAAATCACAGATGGTGGAGGTTCTGTCCCTCAAGTCTGCAAAAGGCTCCAAACAGGAAACATCAGTCATCTGGTGGCTCTTCTTGGGACAGCAAGTGTGTGAATGAAATGGAACCCTCTGCAACACCCCCACTCCCCATGAGAGTTCAGGCCGGAAGTCATTGGGCTGTGGAGGCTGCCTCGGTCCTTAGTATTGTGTCTGGCAGATGGGCCACCTCCTGCCCCGCCCCGTGTGCCCCCACCACCACCTTGTGTACCCCTACCCCCACACACATCACCCTGTGTGCCCCCCACCACCACCCCATGTGCCCCCAGCACCACCCTGTGCACCCCCTCTACCACCCTGTGTGCCACTCTGTATCACCCCATGTGGCCCCCCAAACATAGCAAGGGGGCTACTTTTTACTAATAGCTTTATTTAAATAAGACATGGGAATTTCTCTACTGGAAAAGTACCAAACAAAAGCCACATCTGTCCTCGCATAAGGAAAGCCTCAGCGTCCAGTAACCGGGCTTCCCAGGACAGCGACGGACAAAACTGAAACCACGTCCGAGACGTCTCCAAGCCCAAGGGGGGGGACATCTGAGCTCCAAAGCTTCCTGCGAATTTACATGGAAAAGCAGAAGCTCCAACACAGCACGTCCAAAACCCTCAGATATACTAGGAACAAACGGGCAGCACAAGTAATATTTAGCTTCTCGTGGGAAAAGGAATGCGTGGAGCGTCACCACAAATCTCATCCATCAGGGAAATTCAGTTGTTCCCCCTCCCCCCACCTCCTTGCCCCAACCCTGGCCTCCGCCTCCTCCTCCTCCTCCTCCCTCAGCCCTGGACAGACAGGCAGGCAGAGCAGCAAGGATGGACGGTGGAGCTCCCAGACACACCGCCCAACTGGCCTTTGCTCCCTTCTTCCCTCTCCTCTTCATCAAGGCCTGAGAACTTTAGGGTGAAAGAGATCTGAAAAAATGGTTTTCAACGGTTCCCACTGAAAACGACAGGGTCCTTCGCTCCATGAAAGTGTCTTCTGGTTGAACGCCATCCGACTGCTATCATAAAACCAGAATATGCCTTGGGAGGAGAAAGCGGCAGCTGATGTTAGGGGAGGAAGAAAAGGAGCATTGGGATGGCTGACACCCCCCTCCCTCCCACACACACAGGCCCTTTCCCTCACTGTCCTCATCCCTTTCCAACCTTCACCAGGAGCAGGAGCCAATGCAGCCGGCTTCCCTGGAGCCCAGAGTATGATTCCGAAGACGCCCGGCTCAGATCCTGTCTGCCCAGGGCTTCCTACCCTGCCTTATGCTTCCCACCTGGAGGAGAACAGCAGAAATGACCCCTGACAAAAGATACAGAGAGATGGGGCTAAGGGAATGCGCTTCCAGCTGCCGCCCGAAGTCACCAAAGAATCCTCGGCTGACTCCTTTTCCAGCTCGTCCCCGAACAGAACCCTCTCTGGGCCCGAATGTCGCTTAATTCGCTCAAGCTGGAGAGGGTGGAGGTGAGCAACCAGAAGCCTGTTCCTTTTTAGCCAGAAAACGAAGGGACAATTTCCAAAAAGAGAAACTCAACACGAATTTGCTGGAGACGTGAGTGAGCGCTCCTCACCGTCCCCTGTAAAATCCCTGCCACTGGGGTGCGCACCGCGTGGAGCGTCCCTCCTGGAAACCTTGTTCTCAACCTTGCCAGAGTCATGAGGAATGCCCCGTTCGACCCCATCCTCCTGCTGCCACCTGAGAAGGGGACACCGGCTCCTGCCGCTGGCTGCCCCTGCCCAGGATCACCCTCCTCGGTGGAATGGAATGAGGAAAGATTGATGCAGAGATGTCACCGGGACACCTTGTCTTTGCAGACAGGATTCACATTCCAAGTTACCTGAGTTAGACTTCGGCTGAGTACCTGAAACGAGGCGCCACAGCAGGGAAGGGCTCTTGTGCGTCTGGCGGCGTGTGCGCCGTGCGCGTCACAAACACCTGGCTCAGTCCTCAGCACAGGACACACCCCAGCCAGACGGCAACTTTCTGATGCAGAAGGACTGCAGCAGACCCAGGACACGGCCCTCGTCTGGTCAGACACACGAGGAAACGCACAGTCTCCCCTGAAAATGCTCAACGATCCACACGCTCTGCATCTCTGTTTCCCATAAAAAAGTAAAAATAACAAAAGGCTCAACTCAAGGCCTGTCCCCATCAAGAACAGTGATAGAAGATCCTCCGGGATGCTGACACGTCCTCTGTTCTGTCCAGAAAGGCGTCACCCTCCATGCAGACATCCGAGTGGCCATGCTGACCGGGCTTCCGAGGGCGAGGGCCTGCTCCCCTGCTTAGATGGCCACGTAGTTCTGAGACGAGGCCCACTCCTCAGCCTGACACTCGTTTGGTGGCGGGGGTAGCGGGGCTGGGCACGGCGGTGGGATCGTGACCTCCGCTACCGAGTCCACGACACTGGTATCATCTGACAGGGACGAGAAGGCCACCCGTGCTGAGAGCTGCTCGACGGTCAAGGCGCTTAGTATCGGGCTCTGGCTGGAGCCTGGAGAGCTCTTGAGCATCAGGTCTGAGGCTGGCAGGAGAGGGCCCAGAAGCCTTACAGGGCAGAAGGCGGAGCCGGTTGGGATGAAATTCACCTTGTTTTTGTCAGGACACGAAAAGAGAGGGGCTGAGATGGGCTGGCGAGCGCTAGAACAGGACAAAAGGACACCATGAAGACACGGGAGCCTGACCCCACATGGAGGAACTGTGGGAAGCTGGCTCTGTGCCCTGAGTGGGGAGGGCAGGGAGGCAGGGGCACAGGGCCAGAGGGCAAAGCTCCATATCTCAAAAAGAATGGGCTCACAGGGTCTCCCCATCTCCCTTGGAGGGCATCTCACTACTTGGCAAAGTATACGGAGACTGTGAGCCCCGGGGGCATGAAACTGCTTCTCCTTGGAAGGCTGGACCTTTCCCAGGCCTCTTTTCTCCTGTATCTTCAGTAATCCCAGAGGAGCAGCGATTTGTCTGTAACCCCGGCAATGTCTGACTACTATGAGCCACCCAGGAAACTGCCCATCTCCTGAGCTCCTGCAGCTGCGCGGGCAGCGCACAAGGGTGGGGAGGTTACTTACGCCATCTCCTCAAAGACCTTCACTCGCTCACACCCCTCCGGCGGCTCCCGCTTGAACATGTAGCTGTTGTTGGGTTTGGGAGAGGAGGCGTATTTCGGTAGCGGCGAACTGCTCCCACTGTCTGAAAATTTAAATCAGTTTGTCCCATTACTAGTGGCGGGAAGCCCTCTGCACTGAGCCTAGACTTGCAATAAGCAGTGTCCTGCAGGAGCGGCTAAGCCTGCCCACCCATCACCGAGCCTCTGGGCAACAAGCTCATTCTCACACCCTTATGGAGCACATTTCTTCTCAATAAAGGCAAGGCCAATCTGTCCTGCCCCAGAAATAGGATGTTTTTGTCTCAAAAACTGGGTAGTGAATAAAAGTGCTATACCCCCCCAAAGCCAAATGAACAAGAGGCCCCCCAACCAGGGCTTTCTCCGTGCTGACCAGCTCTCTTAATCAAGCTGCCATCTCAATGCCTGGAGCAGAGCTGTGGCTTTCACCGAAGCCCAGGCACCACAGCTGGCTAGAACCCCCAGCTCTCACTAGGACAGAGGGGACCTGCTCAGAATCCAGAGCTCTGGGGGTGGATGCTGCAGGGCACCTTTGCCAGACCAATGGCCCCACAGCTCTGAACAAACCTGCTATGAGAAAAGGTCTGTTTTTGAACAGCCAGAAAGTCATATCAGCTGCCCCTTTTGCTACCTAGGAAGGGTCCAGGGAGTTTGGATGCAGAGATCTGTCAATATCCTTAAAAATATGGGTGACCTCAGTGACACATCTGGACAGGACAAAAGCCCCAAAAAGCAGCATGGATCTCCCTGCAAACTGCCCCGATGCCCCCCAGGGTACACAGAGCCTCCTCTGTCTCATGAAGCACACCCTTGAGTGTCCACCCCAAGGAAAAGGACCTGTCCTCGACCTCAGCAGACCAAGAATGAGAAAGGAAATGGGAGTCGTGTGAGATCTGGGATCAAATCAAATAATTCAGCTATTCTTGTGAAGGCCCGACTCTGAGCAGAAAGATAACCTATCGGCTTTCCACATCTCCCTCGGCCCTCCCTTACATGACCCTGCTCTTCATCTGCACCGTGACCTCCAATCCCTTGACCCTTCCCCTGCACCAGCTCTTCTGCCCATCTTGACTCCTTGGTGAACCAACTGGACTCTCTACTGTCCTCTTCTCTTGAATCCCTCACACCCTCATCATAACATCAATTGTGCTGAGCCAAGCCTCGGCCTTGGGCCACTCCCACCATCTGTCACCTTCACTCTTACACATGCACCACTGCTGGAGAAAATCACGCAACCGTCCTGACGAGGTCCACTACAAAACTGGCTATACAACCTCAGCTGGGCCCTCACTGCCTCCAGGCAATCTTACCTCCTCCCATGGCAGCTCCCTCCCCCACTCTCTTGGCTGAAAACCCTGTCTCCTACTTTACCAAAGAGAATAAGCCATTCTCGTGAGCCTCCTCTTCTCCCCCATCCTCACCTTCCATCACTCAGGTGCCTTCTGTCCCTCCCTCCTCCTTCCCCGTCTCCCATGATGAGGTGGCCTTACTTCTGACCAGGGCCAAGCCCTCTACCTGCACACCTGCCTCCTCTAACAGATTGCACCCTCTGTCATCTCCATCACTTCTTTTTCTTTTTTAACTGAGAAGTGTTATTGATCAATACCTCACAGAACTCAAAAGGCCAAAACAAAAAAAGACATTATGGTTTTAGGATCTGGGAATGGGGCTCCCTCTCCCCCCTGTCCCAACTTCCAGTCTGTCTACATTTTACTCTGAGCTGGCTGTGGGAGATGGGTAGTCACTGAAGACAGAGGGAGGTGGATGGAGGCAGAAGGAACCCAGAAGTCTCCCCCTGCCCATCTGGGAAACAGGGCTTAGAACCCTAGTCTCTTTCTCTTCCTTCCTGTGGGAAGTGTGCGTTTTGTGTATATGTATATGAGGGAATCACAGAGTATTGGAGGATGGAGACCTCAGTGTCAAACTAGGCTCAGTCCTATCCCCAAAATTCAGGGAGAAGTGTTCTGTATCTCCCTAGAAGTTGAATTAGGGCTGATCACTTATTTTCAGTCTTTCCCTCTCTACTGGCTTATTTCCTCCTGCCTAACAAACATGACCAGGTTTTTTCCCCCACCCTGAAAAAACTCTCACTTGATCCTCCCATCCCCTCTACCATCCTATTTCTCTTTTGTCCTTTGTAGCTAAATGCCTTGAAAAGTTATCTACAACAGGGGCCATTGATTTCTCTCCTCTCGTTCTCTCTTAACCCTTTATAATCTGGCTTCTGGTCTCATCATTCCACTGAAACTACTCTCTCCAAAGTCACCAGAGATCTCTTAATCACTAAACCCAATGACCTTTTCTTACCCTCAACAAGAGGGAGAAGACACAGACCGAGGGAGGACGATGGAGAAGAGGCTGTGGAGCAGGTGACAGGAGGTCACTTGCGACTCTGAAGACTGCTGAGGGTCTAGTGGAGAAGGGGACAGGAAGGAATAGAGGCAGTGGCTGTAGATGGCTTTCTAGTTTAGCTACCGAGAAGAGGGGGGCCAGAGTGAAAGTTAGGGGGAACTGCTGGATCCCAGGAGGACACATGAGCATGTCTGAAGACAGCAGCAAAAGAAGGAGCCAGGGCAGGGAGAGAATGAAGGTGAAAGAGTACAAATGGAGAAGATAGGAGCCATGGGAACAAGGATGCACAGAGAGAGGGGAGCCTTGGCAAGAAGGGCCACCTCCCCTAAAGAGGAAGGAGGGAAGAAGGGAAGGAGGAGGTGGTTGGGAAGAATGCCTCGGTGGTGAGAGATTAACATGAGGGAGAGGCTGGCAATGGCTTCAACTTTTGTTTCTTTGGGGTTTTTTGTGAAATTAAAGTGAAATCAGAGAGGATTCTGTGAATTCTGGAATATAGCAGGAAACTGCCTGGCTCTCCCAAATTCCCCCAAAATAACTTAAAATAATGCCTCAAAGTGAACTTTTTAGAGCAACAGAAATACTTGAAAGTTGGGTAAAGCAGTTGTCCAGCCTAAGACAACTCGGAAGGACACTGGGGTGGTGGTCTGGCCTGACTGAAATGCAGGTACAACAGAATCCACAAACAATAAGCCCTGGGGGCACCTGGGTAGTGGCAGCTCGGTGTCCAGAACATTCCCCCCATGGACAGTGTGGGGGTCAGACGACTGACCGGGGAAGATTTCAGGGCCCTTCACTGATGCTGGACACAGGTCCCAGGAGCACTGACCAGATACAGTCCCAGGTCGTGGCTGTGGGTGAGGAGCAAGTACATACCGGTGAATGTGGTCATGGAAAGGTGGGGTCCTGGTTTTAGGTCCAGGGCAGAGAAGCTACCAGAGGTACCACTTTGTGGGGTAACACAGCTGCTGGGGACCCCCTCGGGGTGGAGAGGAGTACTTGAGGTCAGGCTCCCAAACAGAACTCAGAAAACAACAGGACAAAAAGCCTGAAGTCTGAGACATTATCCCCCACACCCTGGTACTACAGCCCAACTCTGACACTAAGTTAACAACAAAGAAATAAGCCACCAAAAGACAAGTGAGCCAAAGAAAAAGAACCTGACCACAGACAGCTACTACCATATAGGGAAGACCAAGGTCCAAACTCAAAAGAAGAAAATGAAGTTGAAACAGCTACTTCTACTTCAAAGACAAAAACCAAAATGGTCACAAGCTCAAAAAGAGTTCTTGGAAGAGCTTTAAATAAAGTGAGAGAGGTTGAGAAAAAAATTAGGGAAAAAATAAGAATAATGCAAGAAAATCAAGAAAACTGGGAAAAGTCAACCAACTGGAAAACCTTAAGGAAGAAAATAACTCCCTAAAAACTATAACTGAGCAAGGGGAAGCTGCTGACTTCATAAGACACCAAAAAATGATTAAACAAAATCAAAAGAATGGAAAAAATAGAAGCAAATGTGAGACATCTCATTAGAAAAACAACTGACCTGGAGAACAAATCAAGGAGGGACAACAGAAGAATTGTTGGACTACCTGAAAGTTATGATCAAAAAAAGAGTCTAGACACTATTCTTTAAAAAATTATTAGGGAAAATTGCCCTGAAGTTTTAGAATGAGGAGGTAAAAATAGAAATAGAAAAAAATCCACTGATCACCACTTGAAAGAGACCCCAAGATGAAAACTCACAGAAGCATCATAGCTAAGTTTTGAAATTCCCAGGTCAAGGAGAAAATACTACAATAGAACAAAACAATTTAAATACAGAAGAGCTATAGTCAGGATAACACGAGATTTAACAGGTTCTACAGTAAAAGACTGAAGTGCATGGAACATGATATTTTGAAGCGTGAAGGAGCTGGGCTTGCAACCAAGAATAACTTCCCCAGCAAAGCTGAGTGTAATCCTGCATGGGAAAAAAAGGATATTTAATGAACTAAAGGACTTTCAGGTATCTGTGAAGAAAAGACTGGGACAGAGCAGAAAATCTGACCTACAAGAATCAGGAAAAACATAAGAAGGTAAACACGAAAGACCAATCATAAGTGATTTAATCAGGTTAAACTGCTTACTTTTTCTATGAGAAAATATTATCTGTAACTCTTAAGTTATCATTACTAGGGTAGTTTGAAAGAACATACATAGATAGAAGGCTTAAGGTTGCGTTGAGTACGATGGGATGAGCCTAAAAAAATAAAATTTGGTAAAAAGCGGTAAAATGGAGCAATTATCTCATACAAACAAGGTGTGAATGAAAGAGCTGTTACAGTGGAGAGTAGGAGGTGGGGAGAGCTGGTAGTGGGAGAACCTTATTCTCATCAGAACTGAGTTAATACACCTACAAGGATACAAAAGTCTTCTTAACATACTGAGAAATAGCAGAGCAATAGGATAAGATAAGAGAGGGGCTCTTATAAAGGTGGGGAGATTAAGGAACAGTAAGGTAAGGGGAGAGGATAAAGGAGGGATTCTTAGAACGGGTGCAGATTAGGGAGGCAGTGGTTAGAAGTAATTAGATGTTTGAAGAGGGATAGGGTAAAAAGAGAGAAAAAGAAGGACAAATAGTGATGAAAAATAAGATGGAGGGAAAATACACATCTAGTAACCATAACTTTGAATGTGAATGGAATGAACTCACCTATAAAACAGAAATGGATAG